TAGCGATGATCTGATGTGATTTAGTTCTTGGCGAAAATTATCATCTGTTGAGCATATCTTCCAGTCTCTTTGGAGAAATACACTGACGACACTTTTTTTTACGCAATCTGGATGATTAGAAGAGTGATGTAGATACCTTCCCGTATGCGTCTGCTTGCGAAATATCGTGGTCAAATATTCCTGCTGGTGTTGCCTCATTAGCGCATCCAAGAAAGACAGAATGTCGCTTTTTTCTTTCTCCAGAATGAAAATGATTAAGCTTGGGAACAGGCTGTCCAGAAGTTTCAAAAATGGCGCCAATTTTACATTTTTACAGAGAGCAAATATGTCATCAACATACCATTTGAAAAAAAATTGGATAGGCATCTTTGTCACCGCAGTGAAGGCCAAGTGTTCTAAATGTTCCATAAATATATCGGATAGAGCACGGGAGAGAGGCGATCCCAGAGGGACTCCTTTGCGCTGACGAAATAATTCGCCATTAAACTGAAAGTAATTGAAACCAGTAAGACGTATCCTAAACAACTAAAGAATCGAAGTAATGGAGAAAGGTTTTCTGTTCTCAAGGTCTAGGTCTTTTGTCAGTTTCTTTTGTCAGTTGCTTTTGACTACGAATTACAAACTCGACAGGAATGATGAGGAAGATTTCCTTCTCGTCTTAGCTCACCATAATTTCATCGCTGTCATTAATTCGTGGGATAATCTCTTCGACGAACTTCTATGAATGTTTTACATATGCTTTCAACTTGCTCGTGCACGACTGAACGGTGAGGCGAAATGGTCGCGCAACAAAAGCCAAAATGTAAGATGATGATGCAACAGTAGGAATATGACTTGTGGATCTTTGCTAAGCAGCTATTATTTAAGCATATATATATATGAAGGGGTCAACAGCAAGTCGGTAGAGGTCGGAGACAGACGAAAGACCCTGCCTGGGGTTGTAAAGACAGAATGTGAGAAAAATTCTGTCATTGTGGAACATGCTGTGACCCATCAACACAACACCTCATGGGACAAAATGAAAGGCGT